TGGGATGGGACGGGATGGGATGGGATGGGATGGGATGGGATAGAATGGAACGGGACAAGAAGGGATGGAATGAGATGAGATGGGATGGGATAGAATGGGATAGGATAGAATGGGATGGGATAGAAGGGGATGGATCAAGGCAGGATGGGATGGGATGGGATGGGATGGGATGGGATGGGATGGCATGGCATGGCATGGCATGAGATGAGATGAGATGAGATGAGATGAGATGAGATGAGACGAAACGAAACGAGACGAGATAAGAGACGGGATAAGATGAGATGACATGGGACAAGACGAGATGGGATGGGATGGGTCAAGATGGGATGGGATGGGATGGGATGGGATGGCATGGCATGGCATGGCATGGCATGGCATGGGATTGGATGAGATGAGATGAGACGAGACGAGACGAGACGAGATGAGATGAGATGAGACGAGATGAGATAAGACGAGACGAGACAGGACAAAATGAGATTACATGGGACAAGATGAGATGGGATGGGATGGGATGGGATGGGACAGGACGGCATGGGATGGCATGGGATGGCATGGGATGGGATTGGATGAGATGAGATGAGATGAGACGAGACAAGACGAGATGAGATGAGACGAGACGAGACGAGACAGGACAAAATGAGATTACATGGGACAAGATGAGATGGGATGGGATGGGATGGGATTGGATGAGATGAGATGAGATGAGATGAGATGAGACGAGACGAGACGAGATGAGACGAGACGGGACGGGACAGGACTAAATGGGATGAGACAAGACAGGACAAGATGAGATGGCATGGGATGGGTCAACACAGGACGGGACTGGGATGCAATGGGATGGGGATGGGTCAAGATGGGATGGGATGAGATGAGATGAGACAAGACGAGATGAGACGAGACAGGACTAAATGGGATGAGGCAAGATGGGACAAGATAAGATGGGATGGGATAGGTCAAGACAGGATGGGATGGGATGGGATGGGATAAGGTGTAATGGGATGTGATGTGACAGAACAAGATAGGATGGGAAGAGATGAGTAGGGATGGGGTGGGATGGGACAAGACAGGACAGGATAAGAGGAACCCCCTTTGGCTCCCGCGTTACCCCCAGCCGTACTTCTTGGAGGGTTTCCAGCAGGCGCAAACGGTCACCAGGGTGACGAGGAGGAAGATGCCGCCTGTGGAGAGGATGATGTAGAGGGAGCTCCGGCCTGGGGGAGAAGAATGAGGGTGAACAACGCCCCAGAACTTTAGCTGGGAGCATCTGTAAGGGATAGCCAGCCCTGGGGGGCAGGAGCGGGGAAAGGGTGGCTCACGGTAGACGGTGAGCTTCACAGGGATGCTGCGGCCGTGGCTGATGGGGTTCTCCACCAGGCAGCTGTAGACATCGTCATCGGCCATGAGGACACGGGTGATGGTGAGGATCTTCTGGTCGGGGGAGAGGAGCAGGCGGGAGTCGTTGCTCAGTGGCCGCCCGTCCTTCAGCCAGGTGTAGGTGGGCTTGGTGCCATTCTCGTGCGAGCAGTTGAGGGTGAAGAACTCGCTGAGCTCCAGCACCGTCGAGGAGGCCACCAGTACTTGTGGCTTTGAGATGGGGACTGCGGGCGAGTAGGGGAACCATAGTGATGCCGTGTCTCAGGGGATGGGTGGGCCCAGGGGATGGGAAGGGGGACATCAACCCAACCGGGGATGTAGCTCGGCTGCATGGGGAGGTTGAACCCCAGAAACCATCTCCCAGTTGGAGAAAGCCCTCCCAAAAAGTGGACGGGGAAGACATCCCATGGAGAACCCAGTCTCCACTGGACATCCTTCTCACGCTTACTGTCCACAGTGAGGTTGATGGTCTTCTCGCCGGTGAAGGTGTCGTCGGTGATGGACACCTCCACCTCGTAAGCGCCTTCATCGGCCAGCTGCAAGGGGCTGATGAGCAATGAGCCATTCTCCAGCACCCGGATGCGGTCACGGTAATCGGGTCGTAGGTTGCCGATGATCTCGGTGCCAATGGACTGGACGACGGTGACGGGTTTGTCACGCTTCAGCTGCCACTTGACCACCGGCTTGTCGGCGCTGGCGCGGGCGTAGCGCACCGACAGCAGCGCCGCTTTGCCTGCCGTGCCGCGGACGAGCGGCGTGGGGCTGGTGATGTTCACCCCTGCCAGCAGACCTTGGGGTGGGGAGAGACAGCGGGGCACCGAGTCCGGGCAGGCTGCCTGGTCCTCCGAGCCCAGAGTAAAATGGGGAACCCCCTCCCGGAGCTGTGCTGAGCACCCCCAAAATGCATCACCAGCACTGGGCTGTTTGCATAACCATTTGCAAAGATGCATGCATCGCCCCAAAAAGTGCATGGGGAGTGGGAGCCCTCCTGCACCCAGGTCAGTGCAATGCTTTGCAAAGATGCGTGTGTCACCCCCAAAATTGCATCGGGGGTGGGAGTGCTCCTGTGTCCAGGTTGATGCAGTGCTTTGCAAACATGCATGCGCTGCTCCAAAAACTTACATTGGGGGTGGGAGTGCTCCTGTGTCCAGGTTGATGCAACCCTTTGCAAAATGCATGCATCACCCCAAAAAGCGCATTGGGCATGGGAGGCGGGTCAATGCAACCCTTTGCAAAGATGCATGCATCGCCCCCCAAATTGCATGGCAGAGGGGAGTGCTCCTGCAGCCGCATTGATGCCACCAACCCTCTGCAAAAATGCATGCATTGCCCCTAAAAATGTACATGGGCTGCGGGAGCTCTCCTGCAGCTGGGTCGATTCAGCTCTTTGCAAAGATGCATGCGTCACCCCCAAAATTGCATGGGGGGTGGGAGCCCTCCCGTGGCCAGGTCGATACAATGCTTTGCAAAAATGCATGCATCGCTCCCCAAAAATGCATGGGCGGGTGGGAGCGCTGCTGCAGCCAGGCTGATGCAACTCTCTGCAAAGATGCATGCGTTACCCCAAAAACTGCATCTGGGCGTGGGAGTGCTCCTGCGCCCAGGTCGATGCAACCCTTTGCAAAAATGCATGCATCACCCCTAAAAATTGCATGGGGGGTGAGAGCCCTCCTGTGGCTGGATCAATGCAATGCTTTGCAAAAACACATGCACCACCCCCCAAAAATGCATGGGTGAGAGCACTCCTGCAGCTGGGTCGATGCGGCCCTTTGCAAAGATGCATGCGTCACTCCCCAAAATTGCATGGTGGGTCGGAGCGCTCCTGCACCCCGCCCGATGCGGTGCTTCGCGAAAATGCAGGCATCGCTCCCCCAAAAACTGCATGGGAGGGTGGGAGTGCTCCTGCAGCCAGGCTGATGCAACCTTTTGCAAAGATGCATGCATCGCCCCCCCCAAAATTGCAGGGGGGTGGGGAGCCCTCCCGTGCCTGCGTCAATGCAACACTTTGCAAAGATGCGTGCACGGCCCCCAGAATTGCAGGGGGGGGATTTTTGCACCCCACTCCCAGCCCCATTGGATGCTCTGGTCCAGCCAACCCCCTCCTCGTCCCAAAAATGCAAAACTGCATCACGGGGGGCGGTGCATGCACATCGCTCTTCATCGCTGGTTTTAAGCCAAAAAGGCCAGGGAAAAAGTGGAAAAAACTGATTTTTTTGAGGGGGGGGCTCCCCAAAACAGCCTCTCTCCCTGAAACACCGTAGCTGAATCCCCCCCACCCTTGCTAGCCCAGGGGTCCCACCCGCGAGCCCCCATCCGGATGCCGTCATCCGACGGCGAACAAACCCCATATTGAAGGGGAGGGGAGAGTGGGAAAACCAGCTGGGGAGGGCGACGCGGGAGCAAGAAAGGCTTTAAACAAGCCCGAAAAGTCATGGGACCTATTGGTATGCAGCGTCCGTCCGTCCATCCTCCCCAGCAGCGCAGAGCTTGGCTCCGAAAACATGCCCCGACCCGCAAAATTTAGGGGACCCCCATAGGGAAAACCCAGGCGCGGGATAGGGATGCAGCTTTTAACGCATCCTTGCAGCCAGCACACCCCCAAATTGCTGCCCTTTGACCATTTCTTCCCTTTTTTAACCCCGTTGCTGTTTTTTTCTCCACTCTGGGTAATTAATTTTGGAGTTAATTCCTAAATCAGGCAATATTCCCATCTCCTACAGCATCCCTGGCTTAGGGATGGAGATCTCCTGCCCTTCCTGGCTGGCTCTTGCTGAAAAAAACGCACCAAAAATCCTCATTTTCCCACTATTTCGCAGAATAAATCCTTATTTCTTTGGAAAAAAACACAGCAGTGTTTTTGGGGTGCCCTGGCTGCAGCCTTGGCCCTTTTTTAGGGTGTAAATAAAAAAAAAACCCGACTGGCTTTGCTTCGCATCCTCGGCTCATCCAGAGGGAACTGGGGCCTCCCTGGGGCTGGTTTTGGGTCCAAACTTTGGTAAAATGGTGCAAAATTGTTGCAGATGATTTTTTTTTCTTCATTGCCGGACCCGGGATGGGGCGGTTTGGGGTTTATTGAAGCCCAAAATGTGGGTGTTTAGGGAATAAATGATGGATACATCCAGGGTTGCAGCGGGATGGGGCAAACAGGAGTGAACCTAGAAACGGGGTGGAAAATGGGCTTTTTGGGAAAGCTGAAGGATGGGTAAGAAAATAGATTTGGGGATGCTGAAAAATGAGCAAAAAACGGGTTTTAGGGAAGGCGAAAAGCTGGGGAGAAGCTCAGGACTGGCCGGTGCTGCATCCACCGCCCCAGCAGGACCTGCCTAGCTCCGGAAAAGTGCTTTTCCCTGTTTTTATTCCCAATTTTCCCCTCCTTTTTTCCTCTCCCAAGCAGAGGGGATGCTCGACGG